TGTCCTAACCACTGCTGGGGAATTCTGGGAGTTGAAGTCCGGACATCTTCAAGTTGACAAGGTTGAGAAACACTGCTTTAAGTGACCCAGGTTGGTTCCACACCTTGGAGATGCCAATTGCATAAATAAGATTTCATTTGAAGGTCTTCCCAAAGATTTTTCTCCCTTTCTTCGCCACCTTCAAACCTACTTTTGCCTCCGTGAGATTAAAATGGCCCAGAGGGGGGAATACTTTAGTCCGAAGTTCTACATTCCGAATCCGTAAGAACATTTTATACAATTGCTAAACTCCTGGGAGGTTTGGCCCCTCTCTTCACCGTCTGCCTTTGGAGTGCCAGGTGCTCGGCGGGAGTCAGTTTTCCTTGGCTACGGCGCCTGGTTCCCTCCCGGCGCTACGCCTTCCTCCGTGCCAGCCTCACCCGGGTGAGTTGTGTTGGGTCTTCTTCTTGACGCCACCTGAGTAAGCCAGCCTCTCCTTCCTCCCTTCCCCTCAATCTTCCTCCGCCTGGGCTGGTTTTCAACCCAGATCGCCATTCGGAGCATAATTTGAACGTTGTTTTGCAAATGGGGGGTCTCGGTCCTCTCTCTCTCTGCAACACAGGGGGGGGGGATTCATTTTCCCAGGGTGGCACCTGAGCCTCTGGGACCCTTGTGGAGGGCTGGGGAAGGGGGGAGGCAGAACCACGTAGGTGAATCGTTGCCTTCGGAAACAAACGCGATCCCGGAGGCCGGACAGGGAGAGCCGAAATGCCCAGGTCTCCTCTGGCGTCTTGGCCAAAGTGCTTTCTGAGAATCCTGCTTTATGGGGGGCCATTCCTTGGTCCCTGGCACTGGGGGCCGATGCAGTGTGGCATTTCAAGAGGCACTTGGGGACGATCGGAAGGTCGGGTGGCTCCGTTGTGGGAAGCCCAGCTTTTTGGTTTGCACAACCGGGTGAAGGAATTCAGCCAGACGAACCCACAGCCGCCTTCCTCCTCCTCTTCCTCGGTCCGTCTCGGGGTCTAAACCAGAGCAAGGGGTTTGGAGCCCGGCGGGGGGTTGAGGTAGGCGGGGGCCGGTCCCGTGTCCAGCTCCAGGAAGGCCGAGTAAAGCGTGGTCAGTTGGAGGTCAGGTACGCCGTGGTGTTGCTGGGGAAGCTTGTCTCTGCCGTGGTTGGCATCGGCTGGGCAGGGGGCCAGGAAGTCCGGCTGGGCAGCTGTTGGGGAGGCCGAGATGAGCCCCAGGGGCTCCCCTGCCAGGCTGTCGTCCTTCAGAGCCTCCCAAAGGGTCCCTGTGGTTGGCAGGAGAGCAGGGAGGGGCGTTGAGACAGTCGGTGGGGAGATCAGCTTCCTCCCCCCCCCCCAAGGAAAGCAGGAAAGGGGTCAGTGGGGGTGGGGGGGAAAGGGACATACAGTACAGGTAGTCCTTGACTTATAACCATTCATTTAATGACCGTTCAAAGGAGTGGAGCGGTGGCCTAGAGGTGGAGCTCTATCAATCAGGAAGTTTGTGAGTTCGATCCTAGGTAGGAGGGAGATATTTCTCTCTCTGTGCACAATGGGAATATACTGTAACTGCTGAACAAGACTCCGCATTGGTGACGGGAAGGGCATCTGGCCAGGAAACACTCAGCTAGCTCCGGTCAGTTGCCCAGACTCCACCCCGCAGGGCATTGGCCATATGGGGTTGTTAAATAAAGATGATGATGATTTAGCGACCGTTCCAAATCCCCATGGGAGTGAAAAAAGTGACCGATAGCCACTTTTCACGCTTATGGCCACTGCAGCATTTCCACGGCCACGGGATCAAATGCTCGGCCGCTGACTCGCATTTATGACAGTCGCAGTGTCCTGGGGGGGGGCACGTGATCCCACGCTTGCCAACTTCTGACCAGGAAAGTTAATTGGGCAGCCAGATTCACTTAAAAGCCCTGTGACATAACTGGACAGTTGCAGCGATTCACTTAATGACCCGCACCAGGAAAGCTATGCAATGGGGGCAAAAATTCACTTAGCGTCTCGCCTGAACTGTGGTCGTAAGTCGAGGACTACCCATATGGAGAAGTGGGGGAATTGGCAGCCCTCGTCATCCTCATTTGTGAATGAATGCCCCCCCCTCCGAGCCACCTGCATCTGTGCCAGCCATAAAAAGAGAGCTTCCATCCTGCCACTGTTCCCCCCACCCCACCCCACCCTCGCCAGTGGGTTTCCTGGACAGGGCTGACCGGATGACAGTCAGGCTCCCCCCTTTCTCTCAGCCGTGCTTTGGGAAGGGGATGGGGCCAAGAGGCAGGCTTGGGGGGGGGGTCCTGAGGGCCATCCAGGGGGAAGGGGTACCTTGGAGGTCGAACCCGGTGATGGAGGGGTTCAAGGCATCGACATCCATGCTGAGGTCCCCGTCCATCAGCAGCATCTCCGGCTGGGAGGGAGCCGGCATCTTCACCCCGCATGCCGGGGGGCTCTGGGCCGGCAGAGGGGAGGGAAGAGTCCCCTGCCCATTCTGGGCATCTGCAGTGGGGGGGAGGAGATAGTGAGTGTCCAGCAATGGTTGGGGTGCGGGGCCCCTCCCAGACTCCCAGACTCCCCGCTTCCCTGAAAGAGGGGTGGGCCCACTCCCTGGCTCCCCACTCCCTCGGAGGAAGGCTGAGGCTGCCCCCCACCCACCCGCTCCCTGTGCTGGGGGAGGGACAGCAGCCGGGGATGGAGGCTCACAGAGAGGCATCTGGCCGGAGACGGAGGGACCCCCAGCGCCCGATGGACTGCAGGACGGGCGTTTCTCCGGCTTGTCCCCGATCAACACCTCCAGTTCTTCTGCAAAATGGAAAGGAAAGTCAGCCTCGAAGGAGGCTTCCCAGGGTGGCTCTGTCCCCTTCTGACCCTTCAAAGCCTCCTGCTCCTGTGCCCGAGACCCCTTGGGAGCCCCCCCTAGAGGGGAGGGACTTACCCAAAGTTGCTTTTTTCCCTGGCTGCCCCCCTGCTTCCCCCTCGCTTGGACCTCCTAGAGGAGGGTGACTCTTTTGCCCAGCAAAAGTTGGTCCAGCCGTTCCTGGCAAATGAAGCCATCAAAAATGGATGGGGAAGGACCTGCTTCTCTTGCCCTCCCAGCTGCCCCCAAAGGGAGACCCCCGTCAAGGGAAGGATGGCTGCACGGCTGACCAGCTGCTGTAAGGCTGTTAAACGGAGCTGATGCAATCAGGAGTCAGCAGGGCTACTGCCCCTTTAAGAGGCTGTCTATATAAGAGAGGCCCTGCGAGGGCGGTTTCTCCTCTCTGCCTGGGCTGCCGTGTTACAGCTGAAGATGGCTTCAATGCCTGGCTTTGCCTGGTACGTGTAAGTAAATATGGATGCCTTGTAGACCAAAACCTCTGCGCTCTGCATTTTGCTTCTGGGGGGGTCTCAAAGGAGCCTCTCTGACAGACCGCCCCTCCCCAAACCAGGGCTGCTAAGGGGGGGACCCTAAGTCCCTCCCACCCCTCCTGCCACTGCTTCGGCGCCTGGCACTCTGGCGGGGGGCTGCTTCCCAGCGGGGGCCCTCTGGCGCCCGGGGCACGGAGGCTGCCTCTGCCAAGGGGCCCCTACCTGGCTTGGCCATGCTTTTGCGGACAGCCACGGGGTCCTTCCTCCTCCACTTCTGCAGCTCCTCCTGCATCTTGTCGATCTTGGCTGGGTTGAGGGCCCACAGGCAGCCCTTCCTGGAGGAGCTGCCCGCCTTGTTCTCCACTTTCTCGAAGCACTTGTTCAGGGACAGGTTGTGCCGCACGGAGTTCTTCCAGCCGTCCGGAGCCGTCTAGGGAACAGGGCAGAANTCTATCTTTCTCTCTCTCTGTCCTTTCTCTTTCCCTTTTTTCTCTCTCCATCTCTCTCTCCTCTCTCTCTCCTCTCTGTCTGTCTGTCTGTCTCTCTCTCTCTCCCCCGTTTCTCTCTCTCCTCTCTGTCTCTCCCTCTCTCTCCCTCTCTCTGTCTCTCTCTCTCCTTCTCTCTGTCTCTCTCTCTCTCCCTCTCTCTGTCTCTCTCTCCCTCTCTCCCTCTCCCTCCCTCCCTCCCTCTCTCTCTCTCTCTCGGGAAACGGTGGACGTTCTCCAGAGGTCTCGCCCTCCTGCTTGGGGGGGGGGGCGACTGCCAAGGGGGCTGGCCCCAAGCGCAGCCCCTCGATGCTAGAGAGGCCACGGAGGAAGCGGGCTAAAGAGAGAGAGCGAGCAGTTCTCCTCAACCGTGGGAACTTGGAAGATGCGTGGATTGCAACTCTCAGAATTCCCCAGCCAGCATAACAGTCCACATACCTTCAAGTTCCCACTGTTTAAAAGCCCCACTTTAAAGCGTGTCGCTCTGCATTTCCAGCCCCCACAGAATTCCCCCCTGCGCCGTTTAGCATAGGGGTCTCCAACCTTGGCAACTTTAAGACTTGTGGACTACAACTTCCAGAGTTCCTCAGCCAGCTTTGCTGGCTGAGGAACTCTGGATGTTGAAGTCCACAAGTCTTAAAGTTGCCAAGGTTGGAGACCCCTGGTTTAGCAGATCTAAACTATTAAGTTATTTTAACATGGTTTATTTATTATTTTCTCAAACGAAAAGTCCCTCCTGGGACTTTTGCCTCTTGCTCAGGGGTTCCACGGCGTGAAAGACATTTTAAACGCTATTGTAAGTTGCCATCTGTACGGGAGTTTCAGCCCCCTCCTCAGCCTGAAACATCCCCCACCCCCTGAAAAAAAAACCTGAAGGTGGTTTAAAGTCTGTCCTAGTTATGTAAAAAGCACAACCGGGATAATCCACGGATCGTATTTCCTCTCTCAGGAACGAACCGCTGTTGACTCCCTCTGCTCCGAGGCTTCTTTGAATAGGGCGGAAAACCATTTTCTTACAAAAAAAAAGATTAATATATATATATTTAAAGCTGTAATAAAAAGAAGCATGTCAACCAGGTAGCCTGTCCTTGGAGTTTGGTTTTGGAAAAGGAAGTGGGCGCAGGGGGAGGGGGGCAAAGTGTCACCCCATCCGCTGCCCTCCACCACTCCCCACCACCTCTGCGTTGGCTGTGGCTTATGGGTCTGGAGTGGGGCATGTTTGCTTGGGCCATGAGACCCCCCCTGGCTGCATCCCATCTTAAGAGGAGCTTCATGAATTTCAAGGCAAATAAGAAAAATTTAAGAATGTTGGCTAGAACAATCTTTCCTTCCTTCCTTCCTTCCTTCCTTCCTTCCTTCCTTCCTTCCTTCCTTCCTTCCTTTTTCTTTCTCTTTATTCTGTAATTTCTTCCTTCCTTCCTTTTCTTTCTTTTTTTCTTTCTTTATTTCTCCTGTCCTTCCTTCCTTTCTTTCTTCTCTTTCTTCTGTAATTTATTCCTTTTCTTTCTTTCTTTCTTTCTTTCTTTCTTTCTTTCTTTCTTTCTTTCTTTCTTTCTTT